TTTGTCGGAGTGTACGAATTCTGTTGTGAAATAGATTCCAATCTGAGGATATTTTGTAGGTACGGTGGATGAGGGCGGAACCATCCACGCCCATACAGTGTATACACTACATGGAGCAATTACCGTTTGTTTATCACGAAATTAGAATGACTGGTACCAACAGATGCATCACCAGTTTGTACAACTAAATGTGAGAGCTAGAAGTTTCAAACTGGATCTGAAAAAGTCTAGCAATCCTTTGCTTTCTGAGCAATTAAGTGGTTTTGCGAGATATGATGAATGCTCTACATCGTATAATTACCACTTGATCATCTGAAGGTAGAGTGTTTTCTTGATTGCAAGATCAACAAAAGCAATATATATTTTTGGACGTGGTGTAATGAAAATAACCTTAGCATTTCCGCTACCATTGGTTACTTCCACTTTGCTTACTTTGCCCATGACTGGTCATTCTTATCACAACATATATGGGGCTGATACCTCTAGATATCCTTATACAACATGTCATATTAAGTAATATTCTCCCCGGGCCGTAACAGGTACTATTAATTTTTGAGAGCAACAAAAGAACGAAGGTAACTTGAAACAAAATCAACAGTTTTCTCGACTACGTGTTATGTGAAACATGCACATATTCATAATAAAGAATGAATCCAGAATAAATATTATAATACAACAAGAAGATAGAAACACGTGGTATATTCGTATACCACAAAGGTTCGCCCATTTGTAAATACTGATTTTCTCTAAAGTTATATGTTAATAACGTTTATGGATGAATATTCACTCTCAAGGGTTGAGAATCAAGGTCACTAACTTTGGAATTGTCCGGATTATTAATCTAACTATAACTTTGTTGAGGAGCAGAAACTGTTACTTCTATGTGTTTCGGATAGGAAATTTACATATAGCTGAAGAAATTTAAAAAGGACCACGAATCAACTTGCAAACATTAAGAAAACTAGTAATAATGAGAAAAACTTCTAATGAGAAGCTATGTCATTTAGGATCACTATAGTTTTAAAACTAGTGGGCTAAAATGTAACATTAGGGTAAATGAGCAAAGATAATTGTCACACTAATTTGTGGTTAGGTGTGGGTGTGGTATTACGATTTTATGTAAGAAGTATTGCAATGATGAGCTGACTCGTAAAACCAGAGACTTGAAAAATTAAGTGGTTTGAATCTGACTGTGGTGATTTCAAGAAAATGAAGAGACCCACAAACAATTATATTATAATCTTAAGTTCATTACACTTTACACTTAATTTACAGTCAATATAATTATCAGCTATGGTTAAAAATAGTCTAGCTACTAAAGGTTCTCAGTTAATAAAATGTGATAGATGCCAGGAGAGTGTTTTATTTATAAACTCTGGGTTAATGTGTACTTTTAGGGAGGCTAGTAACCAGGATGTACAATTTATTTGCAGGATGTGTAGATTAGAGGAGAAGTTGGGGGGTTTGGGGGCAGAGTTGCAGAGGTGGAAAGGAAGAAATATAAATTGCTTGAAGTGGTAGCAGGACTTGGTGAAAAACATAAACTTCTGCATGCAAAGAGTACAGTTGGCAAAAAGGATTTTAAGGGAGCTAAGAAATGAAATAGAGCTAAAATTTTGAAGATAATGCATTTAGGGGCAAGGATGGGCTTGGGTGTTGGTTAAGTAACCAGTTCCAAGCACTTGCTAGTGATGAGGGGGGCGGGTAAGGGAAACAGATGGATCACGAAGGAAGATAGTGTAAATGATAGAGAAGTTATAGTTGTAGGTGACTCTCTAGCTATGACATGTAGATATAGTAGTATGTGGAGTAAAGATGAGCAAAATAATACGCTTATGTTATACAAGAGCAGGGGTACAGGAAGTAATTGTTAGAACCAGAAAGATAGTTAAGGGTTCTAGTGGCAATGCAGTTTTTGTGCTACATATTGGTGCTAATGATGTAAGGAAAGATGGATCTGAAGTGTTTATTGATAAGTATAAAACATTGATAAGGGCACCTAAGGAAAGGGGCTATAGCCTGATTTTGTCAGAGATATTGCCAAGAATAAATTGTAGGGATGAGATACTAAGTATGTCACTAGGATTGAATGCCAGGCTTAGATCAATATGTATGAACGAGCAAATAGGCTGTTGGGATTTGTGGGATAATTTTAATGGGCTTGTCTATCTTTACACGTGTGGAGATTGTAAGGCCTCCTATATTAGCAAAACCAAACGCCATTTAAAAGTCAGAGCCTATGAACATATGGGAATTTCCATCAAAGTGCAAACAAATTGAGTAACCACTATGTTTCCTCTATACGCCAACATACTGATAAAACAGGACATCGACCTATGCTATCAAATTTTTCTATCCTCTGCAAGTCTAATATTGACCTAGAATTATTGATTAAAGAAACCCTCCACATCAAACAGCATTCTCCAACACTGAACAACACGCAGTTTTCATTTAAACTATACATTTTTTAATATGTTCGTATTACCGATTTTAATTTGTTGTTGTTGTTGTTGTGTTTTCTTGCTGTATTTTCTCCTCATGATTACTGTTTTGTGTTTTATTTGTTTAATTATCGTTAAATTTAGCATTTGTACTTTAGCAATGCCCAAAGACTTATGTAATTTCATTTTATTTTGCTTTAGATACTGAAGATATAATTAAACACTTATCTACATATATCAGTTACTTGTAAATACTTTACACAGATATATATTAAGCTGATCGCATATATATATGTTCCTGTCACTATAAATTATTGTAATTTCAACACAAAAATTACATGTCTTAAATTATATTTCATAAATAATGATTTTTAAACCATATGAATAATTTCATTTCAGATTAAGTCATTTTCAAAGTTTTAGCGCCCTCTTATTTTATTGAGATAAAGTGTGAGTTAGGCCTAAAAAGTAAAACTAAACTGGGCGTCTTTTCTAGTTAACTAACAATATTTGGACAATTTGACTTCAAAGTTTGTATAACTGTAAATTACGATGGAAGAAATTGAAAGGTACATAATTTTCTGTTTAGTTTTGAAGTTCACTTGTAGTTCTAGTAGGAATCAGAAAGTAAACTTATTCAATTTACTATTTAGTACTTATTAGTTAGATCATATGAAGTTTTTAAAAATTGAAATTAAAAGGTCGCTTCATTTGTTAATATAACTTTTATTTTTAAGTTGGTTGACTCGTTAGATTTACACTGCAAAAATATAAATGTGCAACACAGTGTTTACGTAGTTTTCAGGCTACTTTACGCGAGCTTTTCTTTAGTTTAGTGAAGGTGTGTTGGAGCTGAATTTGGTGAAAAATAAGTGCTAACCTGATCGTGAGTTAAATTGATTGGTTGCATTAAAACACACACACACACTTTAAGCTTTGAAGTTTAACTTTAAATTCTTCTCAAGGCTTTACTGTCTAAACTTACTGTATAAACTACAGAAATTGTGCAATAACTGAATGGTTCAGGCTAGAATAGAAAACAAAATTAAAGCATAATACAAATTACAAGCCTAAGACTAGTAATAGTATCACTAATGTCGATGATATTATTACTAATACTATTAATAGTATTAGTAACGTTATTAGTACTATTACTAGTACTACCATTAACCTAGTGTATAACTTACAAGACTGATTCTGAGGACTAGATAACTAATTTGATTAAGTGTGATAATTTATAATCCCTGAAATACTACAGTTGTAATGTTTAATGTTTTACTGTTGCTGCAGCACAAAAGGTGTATGTAAAAGTATGCCAAATTTTATTTGAAATATAATTTATTACTGTGTAGTAATATTAATTTTCAGAATATGAACAAAATGCTTCACACTATTTGATCCTTCTGCTAAGAATGTTACTTTGATTGTGCTTATTATCTCTGGCTTGACCTTCAAGAGAACTAGCAACACAACAGGTGGTTGTGATGTTTGTTTAAACTATATAATGACAATCTGCATTGATCAGTTACCCATGAGAAGTGTTTAAAATAATGGCAGTCTGTTTGGCTAAGACAACCAAAATTTGTCTCATTCAACCAGATGCCCCATCAAGTTGCACAGAGAAACAAACTATTTTTGAATGGTAAGTTAATCCTTATTTTTGTTTCAAAACCTTTGTGGTAGTCATGAGTTGCCATGACTGTTTAAATTTTTTTATGATGATGAACCATTTCTATTTGATGAAGAGGTCATGTTTACACTTTCTATTTATTTATGAAAATAATGATAATTCCTGGAATTTTTTTTTAGTGTAATTGTCACCTCCAATTGTGTGTGTTTGCTTTTTTAAACATTGCTTCTTAGCCACAACCTCGTCCATACTGAATATCAATATAATGGTGCAGTAGAGCATGCTGTACTAGTGGAAGACTGGCAAACGGCCAAGGATTATTTCATTATAATAAATAAATTAAAAGTTTTCATTTAGTATTGGTGACAATACATGGGTATTTATTAAAACACAGTAAAGATAGTCTCCTTTAACTGTAACACATAATATTTAATATTTGTCCAGAGAACCAAAATTTTAAGCATACAACCAGAACATGCTGGGCACCAGAAACTCTTATTTCAAATGTTGCCTATAAGCATTGATCACATTGTTTAATGTTACAAAAATAACCAACTAATCTAAATAATGATTGTTTTTTATTATTCTAACTATCTGCCTCTTATGTCAGAATAACAAGTTTAATGTAATTAATTAATGAGACTGATGGTTAATTAATTATCAAATTCCACTAATCACCCAGCTCTGTTATGACTACTGGGGCTCCCGCTCTTTAATAATAGTGAAAATGCTATGTTTAGGAGCTTGTAGAAAACACCAGTGGCTAGATGATTCAATACATATTAAGTGTGATGTACATGCAAGCAGTATCATGGCTGGATAATATTGTGAGATAATTCATTTGCAGAATTGCTATCTACTTATGCTGTGCATCAAAAAATTAATAACTGAACAGAAGCATTAGAATTCAGTGCCTTCATGTTCTTGTATTTGTTAAAACAAATGATTGAACAGTGTACAACATAATATGCAGACGACAAGGGACCATGTTGTCTGTGAAGACTCCGTGCTTCTTCCTACCCTTGAGAAAGTAAACATTTAAATACACAATTTAATTTTAAGAAATCATGAGTTCTACTCTTAAGCTCCTGTAAAGTTCAGTCCTGAACTACTACTTATGAATACTCATTCCATAATCCTGTCACCCAATTAGAACAATAAAACTGTCGTAACTGTAGTCTGCCAAATCTTTTCCAAGTGTTTAACTTGTCTTCACATCCTGTTCTCTTCAGAATACAGCACCAAGAAACCAGAGGACTATATCCTATTAGTCCTTCAGATAATCTTACAAACTTCAATAAGAACATCTCTTTCCCTTCTTCTTTTAAAGGGAAATTAAAGATATTTACATATCCCTATAAGATGACTCTTCCATCCTTGGGTTCTTCTTGTTTCCCTCTTCTGAAATCTTTATAAAAAGTTAATGTATTCACCTAAGTAAGACAAAACTATACACATTATTCCAAGTGAGGCCTAACTAGTAATTATATAGAACAATAATTACTTCTTTTTACTTGTACTTGACAATAAATACACCTTAAAATTCTGCTAGCATTTTTACTATCAACATAGTACTGCTTTGATGGCTTGAGTGATTTATCCATCACTGTTCCAAGGTTCTTTTTTTTGCCATGCTTTTGAGAAGGTTCCCAAACATATGATCCAAATTGTTATAACCCAAAGATATTATCTTGAAGTTATTATAATTAAAGGTTAATTGCTAAATATACATTTTAACTTGTCAATTGATGCAAGTAATTCTATAGTACCTAAACATCCCAAGTACAGCTAAAAATGCACAAGAAATAATAATATCCATATCGATAACATTAATGTAAATAAGAAAAAGCAAAAGTCGAAACACTGACCCCTAACATGATTGGTTGTAGACATTGTTTTATATCATGTGGCATGTTCTTTTGTCACATGTTATTCATGATTGATTGTAGACATTGTTGTATATCAGCTCTGTCATTTGTTCCTAAATCTTCAGAACTTTCCATTGAATGCGTATGGTCAATTGAACTCCAACTAGAAACTTTCCCACAAACCATAAACTACTGCTCAAATTGCTTTATTTACTGTACTATGACATGAAAGGTCTAATTATTGCTTTATTCAATTATTATCAAACTTTATAGCTCTTTTCCAAGTTGGTTTTACATTAGTAAATGAAGAAATGACTTGATGTGATATCATAAAATAGTGGCAACCAAGGCCTCAGGGATCAAACTATTACATTCCTGCATTCCAGAGGAATTTAACTTTGCTTGAGGAATTTCATCTTTTTAGTTGACTTTCCCGATCGTGGATGCATGGTCCATCCTTATTCCTTTAGTTATGACTTATGAAAGTGATCATATTGCATGGCTTAAATAAAAAAACAATTCATGAAGAAATGCAACTTTACATGAGGGAATGTAATTTTATTTCATTAGTTCTATACCTGGGCCTGTATAAAAACTAAACAAAAAAAGACAAGGGTTGGCTTGAAAGTCAAGAAATGGAGAACATATTCCCAAGGAGGGATGAAATATTTTTCAATAATGAATTATTTATTACAGTTACAAATTTTTGTGCATTAAGCTTAAAGATAACAGTTAACAAATACATGTGACTGCTATAATTACCATGGTATGCCTAGAAAGTATATACTTGTATGGTATATTCTGCTTGTTGTTTGTGATCTATTGAAGCAGGATATTCTATGTCAATATATTTGTGTTTTTGAAGTAGTTAAATTCTTTAGTATAAAAATGTCAGTAAAATATTGAGAATATTCAGAAAGTTGAATGACAGTTTATGCTATTAGCATGTTCAAAGGCAAATGTTTTTTGTTATGATATATACTGCAGTTAGTACTAATTATTTAAGAGCATTGGTGTGTCTGAACAATGGTAAAAGCAGTGGTTTTATTAAGGTGCCATAACTATTTAATGATATAGAGAAAGACCACAAATGTATAATTTGTTAAAGAAATATATTTGATGATGAAAGAATATTATTTATTTACTTGAAACAAATGAGCTAGGAGAATTATTTACATCTCTTATACTTTGTTTTATGACAGTATATGTTCTATTTTCTGTTTACTGTTTACTTCATGCTTTTATTTTGCACATTTATGATTCATTCTGTTTGACTGACTTAAATACAACTGCAAGAGAACTTATAAGTTGTAACTTTACATTCCATGAAGAGGAACTGTCTTCTTAAATCATAACACCACATCATGGCCTGTTTGTTGATTGGTACAACTGTGTTCCATACCTAAGCTATTGATGTCTGTGTGATAAAGACATTTACATAGAATATCTTTAACTTGTTTTTAATAAATGATTAAAGTAGAAGTTATTGTATTAAATAATTTTGAACAACATTTTCATAAGAAAACTTGCTGTTTACAAACTAAAAAATCACAATTTATTTGCATTTTATAGATTTGCTCAGTAGTTTGCCAAATACTGACTATTATTTCAAACCATGTTGTACTTGATGAGTTTTGAATTGAATGGAAAGTGTCTTTTAAGCACAAACTGTTTTGCTACAGTCTGTCAAACATGTTTAAGATTTAATGCTTATCAAAACTGACTGTTGCTTTTCTATGATAAACACTAGGATAATTTTGATAATCAATAAAATGATTTTCTTCTTGTTTTATATATAGGAAAATAAGTTAAAAATTTGTAAATGCATTGTATTCTTTTGTGTATAAGAACCTTCCTAGCAGTTTTATGGTTAATAATATATTATTTAAATTTCTGTCTTTTTCAAAATGATTAATTTCTTTTGACTCAAATTATTTTTTACCCTCTTTTATTAGTTTGAAAAGAAGGAATCCCAAGTAGGATCCATCTTGAAATTTCCTCAGTCACGTGACTCTCATGAAATATGGATTCCATAAGAAATATAAACTGAATATCAAAGAAAAAAATAAATTTCTTAAAACAGCCATGAAACAAGGATTTCCTGTTACTTAATTCACCATGTTTCAAAGGGTGGTTCAGGGCAACAGCATTTTGTTGACTTGGTTTATACTGTCTCTACTTCTCATGTACAGTCACTTAGAAGATGTGCAGAAATGTGATAGAAAACGTCCCATTCTCACAGACACTTGGGGTATCGTTAATGATGGACCAACCAATTACACCAACAACTCTCACTGTGAATGGCTTATCAAGGGTAAGGCTTTGATTAGTGACTGAGGTTGTAAGAGTGAAATATCTGTAGTGCTTTATATCTTATATATATATGTTGAGGTGTGTGACATCCTCATCCATTGGGTAAGAAAAGTGTTTTAAAGGTATGTGGTCTATGAAATGCAGTTCAGAGACATCTGTCTTAAAGTAAGGTAATAAATATGTAAAATATAACTACCATTATTTAGTCTAACTGTGTTATACAGTTTTCTGCATGAAAGTTCATAATTTTAGAAAGGCTTTAATTATTTTGAATGTGTACACTTTCCCTTGTTCTACAATTATAGAACTATTATTTAACTTGAAATGCAGTAAAAATGATTGATCAGCTTCAACATATCCTTATCATGTACAATTAGTAATTAATTGTTAACATTAATGTGAAGTTTTGGAATTCTTATATTAGTGTAACAGCTTACATGATAGTTGCAAGTAACAGAATTTAGCACATGGAAATCAACATGATAGGGTTAAACATGTATATGAGCTCAGTTGAAGACTACATTGAATCAACAAATATAGGGGGGGAAACCAGATGATACATAAGCTTTACTGAATCTCCATGGTTGTAATGATGCATGCTTGTTCATTTTAAATGTGTGATGTTACTCAAATATGCTAAAGTAATCCAGTTGTAAAACATTAACATTTGTGAAAATAACACATTGTAATATACTTTCATGATGTCCAGGGCTATTTTTCTGTTTGTTGAAATGTCAGATGTTGACTGGTTTCAGTATTAAAAGTTACAATAGCCAAGATGGGGGTTTCAATGGATTTTAATTTTTATATGTGAGCTTTTAAGGCAATAATTTCAATTGTGATATTTCAAAATGTCAGAACTATAAAAGTTTGCTTTGCACAAAGGATCTTCCATGTTGTTACTATTCTCTAAAGTGCTGCACATTTTTAAAATTGAAAGTTTTTGAAGTTGCATCTGTAACATTTAGGTTTTATTTTATGTTAATATTTATGTATGGATAGTTACTTAGTTAAGAAGTGCTATTTCTATTTGACTTGAAAATCTTTTTTTTCTCCAATTAAAGGCATGCAATGTTTAAATCCCATTTTGCATACATTATACTTTGCTCCTAGCATGCTTTCACATTTTATTTATCAGAAGATTGCCATGCTCATTTTAGACTACATTGAATGGTTTTAATGTTGTGTAGGCTTAATTGTTTATACACTGTGACTCAGAGTTATGTTATTTATGTAGTAGAAATTAAGAAAAAGGTAATGACATTAAATATTCTTCTAAGTAAAAGGTGGAACAATTATTGTAGGTAACTAACATTTTTCATTTTTAATGGTATAAAAATTCTAGTTGAAACACAGAAACAATTAAATTTAAATATGTTACTTTTTTTATGTGATGCAGAAAATATAACTAGTATCTAAAAATGTTGCTCTTGAATTATGCCTTACTAGCTTCAAAGAGCATGTGAGTGGATCTTTAAATTTTCAAAATACAATTACACATGTACAGATTAAATGCTGGTGAAGCATTAGAAATTAAATAGACCAACATTCATGGACAAATGCAACATGTCTCTGCCACACAGTCCCAACATGGGCAGTTTTGACACCAGAAAAATCATGTAAAACATAGGAAAATCAAAATATATCTATATCACTTTTGGGAACCTTCAAGAAGGTATCTTTGTACCAAATTTCATATAAATTGGTTGACATACACATGAATAATTCACAAAAAAAACAAATTGTGCTTTGCTTGCTGAAAAGTTGACAAAAATTCCAAAATTGTCTATATCTCTGTTTGTGATTTATAAAAAAGGTAAAATCCCATGACCTAAATATGGCAAAGTAATTTTCAAAAAACCCTAAAATTATGCTTTTTGTAGCATCTTGACCCGTATATTTACTAAAAATGGGCAAGTCCAACATTTTTGTCTGTCAGTGTATGTGTGTTGGCTGTAGAAAAGTATCTTTGTATCAAATTCCATGTAAATTGGTTGAAACAAGGTTAAGTCATTGACCAAAAAGCTAAATAGGCATAAATCTGGGCGTGTTGGACCAAAGTGTAACCCTACCAATTTCAAGTCAGTCTGCCAAGAAATGGAGGTTGATTGAAAAGTGTTTGGAAAAAAAAGGATTAGAAAAACAGTATGTCTCTCTGTGGAGACATAAGTAATATACCTAAACTGGTAAGAATGTGAAAAAGCAGCTGCAGTTAATTTAATTTTTATTACACATTTTAGTCAAGTTATAGGTGTATTTATTATTGCAGCATAGTTGTTGGTAATTAACAGGAAGAAAGTAAATTTCATATCTAGTTTATTTTTTCTTGCCAAGTCATAGAACCTTTTGAATCTTGTCTAATTGTCCATGACCTGTTGAGAAATACAGTAAATAATCTCCCACTTTGTAGTTTATAGAGCCTTCATATGTTGATATTATCACATGTTGTCAAGTCACATGCGGGAAAAAGACTTAAGTTTAAAAACAACAACTTTCAATCAAAACAGCTTATTTGGGCAAAGTTTGTAGAACCTTAAACTTGTAGCTATTAAATAGCCAAAAAAGGCTGCCCCTGTTAAATTATGTATAAAAATAGCTGAATTATTTTAAAACAACTTTAATCGAAGAAACTTTATGGTAATTGAATTTTAAGAATTTTTAAAGAAAAAAAGACTTAAACTCTTGGAAAATAAATTTTTGTTTTGCAAATTGCAAATTTATTTTTAGAATTGAAATCTTTAGACTACTTTAATATAGTATTGTAGGGCTCCCCACATTCAAAATCTCCATGAAGTCTAGTCATTAATGCCACTAATCTTATAATTTGGATTTGTTAATTAGATGAAAATCTATCACCAGTTTTTGTGTTCCTAAGATATATTCTTTCTTATTTTCAGCCAACTCAACTAGTAAGTTTGTGACATTGAAATTCAAAATGTTAGCTACAGAGTGCTCCTATGATCATATTTTTATTTATGATGGAGACAGCTATTCTAGCCCTTTACTTGGAACTTTCAGTGGAGACGCACTTCCTCTTCCAGTTACTGCTCAGTCTGGCTCAGTAAGTCATGCTATAACATGTTATTGTTACATTCTAGATGTTTGTCTTTTGTATATTAGTTACTTAGTGTGAGATGTTCACGGCAACTTTGCATACAATTTGTTTGAAAGACATAAAAATGTAGGGTTCAATGAAAAGGCAAGAAGAATTCTGCATGTATGTTTTATTAAATAGTAACTAGATGTCACATAGCAGTAAATTTTGATATCAAATTTTATTTTCTAAGTTATTATTGCTGTTTTTTCTGTGCTCAAATGATGTTAGATATGGAGGAAAATAGCTTGTAAACTAAAAACCTGAAACTGTCTATATTTTACTCATTTTTTTTTCAAATTGTACAATTTTCTGTATTAAAGGCTATCACACCTACATTTTATTTATTATTTAGTATATTTGGATGTAATGTGTGTTTCTAAAGCCACCTCCTATATAAGTTTTAGTTTTTCATCAAGGCATTCCTAAAATTGCATAAACTTTTTAACACTGAAATGAAATGAGAATTGAACATAATTCTTAGAGACTTCTGAGATAAATGTGATGCCTGAATAACACATCAATTTAAAATGTTACCATAGTTCATAAAAAACCTAAGTTTGGGTGGAGTTTGATTAATTAGCAACTCCTTTGTCAAGAATTTGTTTTTTAAATCTCTTATCAACATTGGTTTGCTTATTGTAAAGCTAAACATATAAGACAATAGCATATACTAGAAATGACTTTGGTAAAGTTGCTTTTTTTTATACAGAAATTATTAAAGTCCAAATATCCAACTTCAGATGCAAAAAACTTGGCATTAAGAAATAATATTTATAGGTATATAAACTGAAATCAATAAATTTTTCAGAACTTCAAAGAAGTGATGCTAACTTTTGCCACATTTCTAAGATCTATGGTCTGTGTAGGGTATGGGCTGAATGTGCCCTGACTGAATTTGAGGATTCATAGTTTGTGTCCCATTGTGGCAACAAACATGATCTGCTCTTTGGTGCCATGGGTGTGCTATAAGAGCAATGGTCAAATCTCACTATTAGGTCTGATAAGAGTAGGTCAAGAGTTGGTGGTGAGTGCTGTTGACTAGCTGCTTTCCCTCTAGTCTATCAGTTCAAAAGTAGGTATGGTTCTATACAGATAGACCTTTGCCTTGCTTTGCACAGATGTTCTGAAGCAAACAAAAAAGTATAGTGTAAATTTGGTGTTATTAAGAGAAAGTTGGGCTAAACATAATTAATATTGTATGAAAAATATTTTAATGCTAGTATTGAGAAGAAAATGATTATACATAGTTCCACATTTATATCTGATTTTACAAAAACACATTATATACAAGTACTGTATTAGAATTAAACATAAAGAACACAAGATTTACAGTTCTAATAATGTGGATGAATATGGTATTGAAAAAAACAAAAATTATTGTATTTTAATGCAAATTTTTTTACTAAAATAATGTGCTTAAGGTTTTTCATAAGTAAAGAAGGAATTGGAATATTTGTAAATGTGAGAATAAGTATATACTTATAGCAAATCATTAACACTGATTTAAACCTGATGTATGCTTACTACTTTATTTAGTGTATAAGAATCAATTCCTGATGTGTTGAATTTTGTGTAGTAGCATAGGGCCTTTTCCTTATTCCAAACACCTGTGTTTTGCATGCTGTTAGTGCATTTAATTATTATCTATTTGTGCTTTTAGCTCCTTACAACCAAAATAGTTTCTAGTTAACTACTTAGATTTAGATTGTTTGTCATGTCTCAAAATTCTGTATTTATATAAAAACTTTAATTGTTCAGACTTAACTATTTGCTAATGAACTAATTTTCTTCAACTCTTGATGTAGCTATTGAATTAGCCCTCGAGGGTTTCAGTACCTTACTTTATTCTTTAAGGTAAGAAATAAATTTGATATTAAAGTAAGTAGTTGAAAAGCTTAAGTTTATTAATCACAAACCACATTCTTTAAATGTTAGAATATTTTTTATAATTCATTTTGATGTTTTGTTGTTTTTCAGATGTTAATTTTATTGTACAGTGACACCAATTATGTATTAAAAGGATTTGAGGCAGAGTATAGCATAACGGACTGTCCTTTAAACTGCAGTGGGAAAGGAACTTGTGTGGAGAATCGTTGTGAATGTAGCCATCTCTCATCAGGAGATGCCTGTGAAATTGAATTGTGTCATAATGCATGTGGAGCAAATCAAGGAAAAGGACAATGTCAGCACATCCCCAGTCCTTCTCAGTGTGTGTGTAGTCCAGGATATTCAGGACAGTCATGTAGCTTACCATCAACCAATAACAATTCTGAAAACTATTGGCACCTACTATCTCAGGAAGGAACTGGCTTATCACCGAGAGCAGGTCATGGAGGGGTTTACCTTCATTCACTTGATAGGCTTTTTATTTTTGGTGGATTTTCATTTCATCAAGTCCTTGGAGACTTTCTAGCCTATGACTTCAATCATAGTAAATGGTTAAATATAACTCAGAAAGAGAACACCCCTGCACCTCGTTGGGGACATGCAATGGCTGTATATGCAAATAACATTGTGATATTTGGTGGAGAGTTACAAGATGGTAAACTCTCTAATGAACTTTGGCTTTACGATACAAGCAAACAAGAATGGAAACTAGAAGCCACAGGGAGTAAACTACAGCCCCCATCACTGACTAAACATTCACTTACTCTTGTAGATGAGAAATGGTTGTATGTATTTGGTGGTAGCTATCAGAATGGCTCCTTCTCATCAGATATGTATCGTATTAACTTGAAGTCTGGTGCTTATTGGGAAAAGGTAGAAGCCTTAGGTGGAAAAAGCCTGACTAGAAGACTGGTAGGACACTCAACTATCTACTATGCTCCTCTGAAGTCACTTGTGGTGTATGGTGGGATAAGTGTTCGTGATGCTCGTTTTAGTCAGTTTAATATAAGAGTAGATGCATTTCATGTCGAAAAAAAGTATTGGACAGAACTTTTTCCAGGAAGATCCCATTACCATCCACAGATGCTGAATGTTCCATTAGGAAGAGCTTTCCATACATCTTCAGTGATAGGAAACTACATGGTGGTTTACGGAGGTTACATTCATATTCATACAAAAGAAGAGAAATGTTTTGATGATGCACTTTATTTCTATCATTTAGAATGCCATAAATGGGTTGATGTGTCCAAACTTATGGAAGAATATTCAGGTATGATGTTTTTATTATTTCAAGGATTTTCTCTGATTCTTAGGGTTTAATATTGATTTGTAAAGTTGGTTAAAAAACTATTTTTGCAGTAAAAAGTAGTCACCTAGCAACTTGTTCTATATTATTGTATTAAAGCTATTACATAAATCCATTCTCCCATTTGAAGTGTGATTAATGATTCATTAATCAATTGTTAAAGAAAATAATACTTTCGAGAAATTAGGCACTTTTTATCATCAGTTGTGGATATTATGACTTGCTTGAAACTTGTAAATCTTATACACCTTTATATTGGTTAATATTGAGAATTTGTGTGTGTATGCATGAAATCTACAAGCAGTTGAACTGATCTTGCTATTAAGTTAGTCCTTTAATAAAATCATTAGAATGACTGTGCAAGAATAATTGCCTGTTTAGGTATGTGAGTAATTGTTGGTCTGATCTGTGTACTATTACCTGTTGTCATCTGAGTTTAAATCACTATTGGTCTAACATACAAACATGCACAAATTCTTGGAAAAAGTATTCTGGATAATTGTTAAAGGCATTTGAGAATCAAGCCTATTTTAAGTGATTTGTAATTTGCGCTTGCTTAGCTGGTACAGTGAAATAATTTTTAGACAAACTTGTTATGCATAAACTAAGTTAACTTTAACACATTATTGATACTTTGTTTTTGGTTGCAAACTTTCTGTTTTTCTTAGTAATGGTTTTAATATTTTTCAGTACTTTACTTTTTTTCAATTTTTCTGTGTATTCTTATTACATATATTGGTTTATTTCTAAATGCATATGCTTTTCTTTTCAGATACGTCTAATCCTATTCCAAAAGGGGTGTTTTCTCATGTAGCATCTGTAAGAAAAGGTCACACACTTGTTGTAGTAGGTGGTTACAATGGGAGGATGAGAGGGGATATACTGGCATATATTTTCCCTTCTACTATTACTAGCAGGGGAGGTGAATCCAGCAACATTTGCTCCAGGTTTGTTCCTCTAACTCTTACATTTCATGTTTTGACTTGTAACTGTAAAGGTATTTTACATTCTTTCAGAAATGTTATGTATCATAGGGAGTTCAAGAACAATTTAAAAGTGTGTTTAGAATTTAGATATAGTACAATAAGAGTAGCATATCATGTATAGATATAGTAAAATATAAGTAGCATATCATGTATAGATATAGTAAAATAAGAGTAGCATATCATGTATAGATATAGTAAAATATAAGTAGCATATCATGTATAGATATAGTAAAATATAAGTAGCATATCATGTATAGATATAGTAAAATAAGAGTAGCATATCATTTATCATGATGTGGCTAGCAACTCTCAGATGAAAAATCCATAGAAATAACATGATTTCTAAATCTAATCTTTGTAATGCAGAGTAAAAATTTAATTTGGAAAAACAGTCTCCTGCACCAGTAACCAAAATATTAACATAGAATGAGTAATTTCTGACACTTACAAATTGTGGTTTGTGGCTCAGTATGCAGTTATTGGGTGCTTACTAGGCCAATGTATTGTGAAATGTTTTAACATTTAGAACAATCTTTTATATGCAATAATAGATGTTCTAGCCATAATAAATTGGGGATTTGGCATGAAATATAAGCCTAATAATTATGAAGAAGTTAACAAATTATAATATTATATTTGTTTAGCACTATTGTAAGAATGATTTTCCTTGGAAATAATGCCATTTGTAATTCCTATTATGTACAATTCAAAACATGACTGAAATTTCAGAATTGCTGTACACTGTTTCTAAAGTCATTTTTTTATATTGTTTACATTTTTCTTTTTTTGCATAAACACTGAAAGACTAAAAGGTTGATAAATTCAGTGTTGTCTCTTCTATGCAAACTTGGCACTTATGATAGGCAACTATCAGTTTACTATACATGTGGAAGTAAACTTCATAATTTCACATGATCACAATTTTTGCTCTATAAAAATATATACAAAATACCAAGTGGGTAATTATTTATGTGTTTGGGCCTTATATCAAGAGATTTTTGTATTTGGCTGTCCCAGAGATTGAAACAAAACTAAAAGTATTCTTTGATTTTTCTAATAAAATTATAATGAAACAAAAAAGAATTAATTTCAGTCAAAAAGTTACTAACACAGAACAGGTACTCTGCTTGGTGATTGTATATATAAGATACTAGAAACCTAGCAAGATAAAGGAATTTCCATAAACTATGTGCCAAATGCTAAGAATTCCCATTATGTTTACATTAACACTTATATTACAAAATATAGTTTATTTCATAGACAGCATAGTATTCCAAATCATATTCATAAAAATATTAATGACACTTATGAACAATAAAGTTTTTTTCTGAATGTCACTTTCACAGATTCATGAAATGCAGATCACTTAACTTTGTTATTAACTAAAATGGGTTAAAGAATGATCTTAGTGCTTGTGATTTAGTGTTATCTTACTTTTGCTGAACTTATATACTTTATATTTCTTATTATTGTTGCATGTTGTTTGTAATGTTTTATTGTTGATCCTGTGTAACATAATGACTCTCAATATTTTGGTACCAGTGGGTCAGATAATTCCATAAATCTTAAATAAAGTGGGAGGCCTGCATACCATTAAAATAACAAATGTTTAAGTAGAGAAGATAGGCTGGTTGTTTTTGTTATTAAAAATCTTAACAGTGATAGTTATGCCAGATAAGTTTCCTCTTTTGCCTTACATTCATCTTTGGAATACCAAAAACAACGAAGTGTTCTGTTCTTACAAGCAGAGTTGAATGTAATAACATCATGGTAGCTATAATTCTGATTAATATTGTTGAGTTACAGAATATGATGTTACTCTTTGCATCCATTTCCAAGTTCTGGCATAGTATCTACAGTTGCATAACATTGAACATTGGATTAAGTAAGTTTTAATAATGTGTGAAACAGTAACCATAAAGTAAAATCAACTAAAAATGGTTTTTGATTGTTGATTCTTTTTCAAATTTTCATCATTGAAATATCAAAATTAATCTGTGTACTTAATTATATGATTATACAGATAATAACAGCTGATTCCAGTTAATTGGTGTAATAACCAATAAACCAATTATTTGACACATCTTTCCCCTCTCCAAAAAAATGGTTAAAATGCTTTTCTTACTTTTAAGTTTTATTTAGACAAATAGATACATAATTCTTCTTGTTACACTTTGTCTAGTGTAATTAAATTGTGTAAACTTTTATCATTCTGCTGGTATGTCTATCTCTTTCACATTTATATAATGTATTTGATTTATGTTTTTATGTTAAAGATGGAGTTTTTTCCATTTTAAAAATGTTTAAAAAAATGTGTGGATTTACAGTTACAGATCAAAAAATAATTGCACTCAAAATCCTTTATGTGGCTGGTGTTTTAAAAAAAATGGGTCTGAGCAGGGTCGGTGCTTGGAAAAATCACACCGTGAGGTAAGGCCAGATTTTGCATATTTCTTACAATAGTATGGTTGCTAACTTTCTTTTAGTTATGTTTAATATTTTATAATAATTTTAGTTACACTGGAAGCTTAGAAAGTGGTTTAATATTTTGTTATGACACCAGCCATTATTTATAGAGATTTGTAGAAAACATACCATCGAAGTGATTTTTAGAAACAAGGTCATCTTTTCTGAGTTTAGAATTCAGAAACAGCATTTACCAGGCAATGAATAAACCCTTGTTAAAAACTTTGGAGCTTTAAATATTTTTGCAACATTTTTTTTTTTTTACCTACACATAAAATTGTGGACATAGACCATTCAGTTTTGACAATTTGATCATCAGATTTAAAATGATGAAAGAAGGAACCATATGCAAAAGCAATATCAAAATATACTTTTTTTAATGTAAGTAGAAACATAGCTATAAAGACGTATGATGATTGGCAAATACAGTGTTTTGTTTTTCAGATGTGGATAGTGGTTTAGTGAGTACAAAATATTTGTAGGTGGATGAGTGGACAGTGTAACAAATTTGGAACATTATAATTTCATACATTTTGGAAATGTTTTGAACTTTAGGAGTGATTTTGTTACAGGGGAAAACTACGTATTAAACTTTACAATCTTATCTTCAGATTTCCTGACTCATTCTCAATTAGGCTGGCTTTAAATTCAATCCAGTGGTTGGTTTTATAAGTTATATCTTTACTTAGGAGATATTTATAGTTTATCATGTTCATATGTTCCTTACTTATTAATGTTGTCTTGATAGTATATTATATTTTTACATTTATTTTCTGCATTTTTTTCCCCCTAAAATCTTTGTTTATTAAAATTCTGTTGTCTGGATTATTGCTTTTGAATTATATTAAAATTAGGTGTAATTTATACTCTTTGGTATTTTTTGTGACCTCACTGCAAAGCATCATAGAGCAGAGCATGTTGATTTTCTCCTGTCTGTCTGTCGTTAATCTTTTCAGCATATGTTGTAAGACCAAAGTGAAAAACCGTGAAAGGAAAATAAGAAAGTTTTATTCATGCATATTACAGTTATACTTGCATTCTCATTGTCTAGCAAATGCCTGAAAGAATCATAAATATTTCTATACTTATTAAATGGAATGTGGTTGAGTAACTAAAATTTATATTTTTTAAAAAACCTGATATAACTTAAAAGAAAGTGTTAAAAATACGTGTTTGAGTATGGTTGATTAATTCAGTTTTTGTTTTCTTGTTTCACAGATTTTCTTATAGATTACAAAAATTAACTTGTTTGTGTCTGTATATTTAAACAGTTACTTGAGGATGTTGTAGTTTATTTATAAATAAATTAAACATCATTTTTAAATCTTAATTTGCTTTACTTCTATCACAAAGAATATAAGAAAAACTACTACATCATACACACAACTTTAACAAGCTACTTCCTTAAAATTTTCCTATTGATTGCTGTTTTGAGGAAACAAAGAAAAGAAATAGAGTGTCAATGCACTGTGCTAGCTTGTTTCTTTGCTACTTATTCAAAACAAAAAAGTCCAGTGAGCAAAAAAAAGAACTCATCATTAGTGACCAACAAATAAATATCAATTGAAAGGTGATATTATACAATGTTCTTATTGGAAACCTATATTTATTTATTTTATTGAGTCTGTTAAATACTTAGAACTATTTTCAATGTTATCCTAGTATTCTTTCAGACTTGTTATCCCCCACCTCTACTCCCAAAAATGCTACCAGATTGTTTTAATTATTGTTAAATTTAAGATCTGTTGTTGCTGTCACTTGAAAAAGACTTGCTGTTTGCATGCAAAGAACATTTTTTTGTTCTTTGAAAGTTAACAAATCCTGTCTTCCACACCTATCAGTCAAAATCTACATAGAAATGGTTATGATAAGATGTGATTAAAGATTTTAAATGCTTACAATTAAAACTGGAGAAGTCCACATTTTTAGAATGAAATAATTATTTACATAAAAAGATGTGATTCCCAAGAGTTAACATGAGAACAAATGGCAATAAAACTGAGAAATATTTCTAGGATAGTTCATAGTTTATAGATAGTGTAATATTGCAATTACAACTTAAGCTTTACTATATTGAGTGAAGCTGAAAATGAAACATGATTGAAGATTTGCAAATCTTACTAATAATAATTTAAAGTCTTAAAATGTCACAATATGATGTACCAACTTGTCTTTAAGTTGTGAGCTTCTCCTTTTTTTACTATTAATTAGAGGTTTGATATGTCTGTCATATATATATAAACTGTGTATCGGTCAGACACTGAATTTTTTGTTATTAGGAGCTACCGTTAATGGCAGTTATGGTTCATGGATTGTGACCCATTGCTGCAAAATATCTCCACACTTTTGGGCCATGGGTGATGTATAACAGTGACAGTAAAATCCAACTATTATTTGAAGAGTCTGCAGTGAGTGCTGTCTGATATGAAGGAAGCATGTTGAGTATGTTAAAACACAATAAACCTCAATTTGATTTTCTTTGAAACATGCATTTTTTTCTCTCTCTCTTCTAGGAATGTGAACTTCCATGTCCAGGATTGTGTTATCAGTTACAAGACTGCCAGTCTTGTCTTGCATGGGGAGAAGATTTTACAACAGAAACTGTAGATTTGAACATTAAATATCGACCAGCTTGTGCTTGGTGTGTCCAGTCATCCCAGTGCCATCCTGTCAAAAGTAAATGTATACATATTTTGAAGACTATTCACATTCATAAAGCTAATGCAGGCTATTTATAACAAAATCTTGCCTCTCTAACTCCCCCCCCCCCAAAAAAGTAGGAAGTTGTTTGTGTCTGTTTCATTTTTTTTCTCGAGATATAAAACTCGTAAAAATAGCTTGCCTTGCTGAGAAAGATGAGAAGGGAATATTTTTTGTCAATTAGTTATTGTAAATGCAGAAAAAAAAATTACCATTGAATTGAAAATGATGTTTCAGATACCTAAATACCAAAATAAATGAAGTTGGGTAAAGAAATTTCCTTTTGCTAATCTCACTGTTAGTCAAGTGTAGTGTAAAATGTTTTATATCCAAATATAATTTCACAAGACTGCCAAAGTGATGTAAGTTCAAATTACGTGATTTGACGACTGTTATAACAAAGTAATGATAATTGCAGTAATGGGTTGGCTAAGTTTTAACTATCTGATTCGTGAGTGTGAAGCAAATTACTGTATGTCCCCTTTCTATATTTATATAGAGAACGTTTTTGGTTCAGTTGCAGATGATATTAAGTTATATGCATAAATGTAATTCCTTAAAACTTTGATAAATAATTTTCATACGGATGTTTAAAGGAAGATATAGTGTTTTGAATGGAAAATGAAGAAATGTTTTACAGTGCTTATTGTATGCTCTATCTGTACATTTAAATTTGATCACAATATATATTAATACATTTTAGGACTTTATTGAAGATTTACGTATCTGGTTTTCTGTAGATCCTCCACCTGAATGTCAACATACAGTGAATGAAGCTGGTGGTGATGTAACTTGGTGGGGCTCTCAAGGAACAGACATAAAGTCACTTAGTAACTGTCAAATCAAGGACTATCCACCAGGGATTACATTTCTTAGTTATCATTTTCTTCCTGATTGGAACAATCCTGATAATGTAAGAGCTGAAACTTTAGATCGTGAATAGAATTCACAATTTAAGAGTTATCTTTTATTTGTGAACTAAAGTTATGATATGTTGTCCATACCAAAAAATCATTAAAGTGTGCATTAATACCTGTGATGAAGTACATGCTTTTATAAATAATCACAATAAGTTTGTTTTGTTTTTAATTGACAGGATGTCTCACAACTATTTTTCCTCTTATGTTGAACTTTCACCCAAGATGCAGTGTGAGTCAAATAAGTTATCAGATCAATAGTTTCTGCTATAAACAGTCACTTCAACAGGCTCAGTTGTGTGTAACTGAGCATATGAAAATAATTCTCCAGTTTAATATATAAGTTGTGCATGTTTTGTGTGGTATTTCTGGTCATGTTGGCTATAAACAGTCACTTCAACAGCCCCAGTTGTGTGTAACTGAGCATATGAAAATAATTCTCAAGTTTAATGTACAAGTTGTGCATGTTTTATGTGGTATTTCTGGTCATGTTGCATTTGTGAATCTCGTATTACTGTGAACACAAAAGTAAAGGGAACTATCTATTTGGCCTTTTCTTTTTGGCAACTTACATTTCTTGAACTTCACGTTAACATTATTAGATAGATACATGTTACTAATGAATCTAATTTTAAAGCTAATTATTACTTTTTTTTGTAAGCTATTTTTCTCAAATTAATTTCTTTATTTATTATTATTTAGTGTCTTCTGTAAAAAAAATGAATTGAATACATTATATACTTCTCTCATTCCTTTTGTGATTTCACTCTCCTCACTTCAATCACGTTTGCCCTCAGAATACTTCTACAATGAGTGATCCACTTCATAATAGTATGTTTATTTATTACAAATTGCAGGAAAATAGATACATCTATTGAGTGGTGGTGTCATATTTTATTCTCAGTTAAGCCTGCAAGGTGTATTATGGGGGATGTAACAGAGCACATAATGTATGTGGTACTATATTGTTATATACATATAGTTATTAAATTTTTTTTTATAACAAATACAACCAAAATATTTTATAATGTCCATTTATGTCTGATATATCAAATTCTAGTGAAAAAAGTGTGTATTTTGTGCTGAGGTTTCTGTCTGTTTTCCATACACTGAAAACGAATATTTGTAAAACATCTGACATAAATTCCGAGTAGAACTCACATTTTTTTTTCATAACTCATTGGAAATTGATTACACATTATAGCTTTTAACATATATTTCCTGGATATTACATATTTTATTATGTAGCATTAGTATCATTTTAAAAATGCTGTTCACAAAGTAGAGTACTAGTGCTTGGTTTATTAAGGCTTTTATGAGCAATCTAATGTTAGGTATATTTAGGAAGAAAAATCTGCTATGTAGAGTTCTAGTGTTTGATTTATTAAGATTTGTATGAGCGATCTAGTGTAAGGTATACTTGAATGATTATCAATATATATTTCTTATGCATTTTGTTAAATGTTTGACTGTTGAAAGATGAATAACAAAACTGTATGGACAACTATATGGTAAGGCTTTTTTAAAGAAGTGAACATTTATATCAGGTTGAAACCATTGATTCATCTAACCAGGCAGATTATTTTATTTAAATAAGCTACTGCCTCTTGGATGTTGTAAATCTAATTTTTTTTTTTCGACAACAAAATAAAGCAATAAATAGATTTTGAGATTTACAAGTCAATAGTGATAGTTCATAAATTATGTCTATTCATTCCTAAGCTCAGGTGGTTAGGGAGCTCGACTCGCAATCTGCGGGTCACGGGTTCGAATCCCCGTCACACAAAACATGCTTGCCCTTTCAGCCG